AAAGAAATATTTTTTGCAAAATTTAAGAACTACGAATTTGGTTAGAATGAGTGGTCTTTCTTGGTCATGTGGACACAACACATAGAATAGAGGTGGCCCTAGTAAAGTAGAAGCAATATTGAATTAGTCAAGGCCAACAAATGTGGGAAAGATTTGTAGTTTTTTTGGGTTTAGCAAGATACTGTAGAAAGTTTATTGAGGAATTGGTGTGCTATCTTAGGTAGCCAAAAATAAAACCTATAATACTAAAAACATATGTACTAGCGAAGCTTTGCAAAAAGACCGAAAACGTTATAAGCACAGTATGGTTATGACTCATATGGCCAACACGGTGTGCTTCCACAATGATTTTCAGCCTCAAGCTACAATATGGACAAAAAAGAAAACCATCTTCTAAAACACATTTAGAAGAATTACCAAAAGCTCATATAAATAGCGGAAAAAAACATGGAACTTCCATATGCAGGAAGCCAAGAGAGAGTGTCGTCGACTCAACGCATGAGCTACTCGATTAGAAACACCTCACTTGTGATAAATCACAAATGTGAATGCTATAAATAAGCCGACCACGCAGCATGTCTAGTAGATAAGGAGTCTTGACTAGCTAAATCCTTCAGTGCCTATTGGTCAGTGAAGAGGATAAATTCCTTTAAAAACATGCCTTCCATTAAAGTCTGCTTGTACAATAGTATAGAACACGTCATATATAGAGTATGGGATGCCCGTACCTAACATTTTCTCACTAAAAATGAAATGGAGGTGGCCATCCTTATTTCTGATTGAGGAATGTTCCAATCTCAACTTTAGACACGTCATAGTGCAGTTCAAATAGGAGGGAAGAATGTGGCAATACAAGAAATAGAGCTTTTGTCAAACATTCTTTTATTAAAGAGCAAGATCAACCTGGTTAGACTACAAGATCATACACTTAGTGATGGTTGCTATTATAGAGCTGAAGTGAGAAATGAAGCCTCGTATAAAGAGGCCAGGACATGAAAACTCTGAGCCTCAGTCACGATTTGAGGCCTTGGCCGATTGTGTTTGGTAATAACACTGTCTAAGAATAACACCGTTTAAGAATAACACCTTCTCAATAACAATAGAGCAGTTGT